TAAAATAAAACCAAACTTTAATAGTTTACGAGCATAAAGAAAACTGTATGCTAAATATAGCAAATGCAATCAATATTTTATATACTTTTTTTAGCCTTTAAATCGTTCTAGTAAAATAACCATTTTCACAGTATTAAACTTACCATTGTAACCAAGTAAAACAAACTTTTCTTACACTACTTGCATCACAAATGCATCTGCTATTATATATAAGATGCCTTCATTGCATAATTATTTCAAAGCCACTTCTCACTTGGCAGGTTTTCATACACAAAAACTTTGTTTAAGCCAAATTATCTGCAAAATGTCATTATTGTTAGATATATATACAACTGTTTCCATTTACATTTAATGTGAGAGTTATGATTTAGATATAGTTAGTTATATAGATAGATAGAAATAAGAGTGCATGATTGTGAGTTTAGCCATAAAGAGCATATAGTGGTGATTTTTAAAGTGAAATTATCACAGATTGTATTGTAATAACACAGTAACGAAGAAACAATTTGCCTTGTCAAATTGTGTTCTAAAGTAACTGAACCAGCCTGTTTGGACTTTGATGAAAAAAAGACATTTAATTAAAGCTCTGAATATAACTGTGGTAACCAACAGTGCAATAAAAATTTGTATATATGGTTGATTTGTTTTATTATATTATTTTACAACAAGCAGATTGTGTGCTGTTTGTTTATTGTTGAACTTTATTGCCAACAAGTCACAGACACCTACTGTAAAAAATCTGGCCCATATGTAAAACCTTACAATCATTTCCATGCGTAACGAAGAAATAATAGAAAAAAAGTTCTAGGATGTTTTTATTTATTAATAACTTGATATGGACATTTGAAGGAATACCAAAATAAGAATAAATTAAGCTTCATATTTGCATTTTTTTTCTGTTTCATTTTCTTTGACGACAGAATAAGTTAAAGACAAAATGTAATTATACTGTTCAGTTTAATACTAACTAATGAAGGTGTATTTTACAGTGAAGTAATAGTTTTGTTTGTTTGGTTTTAAATTTCATGCAAAGGTACTCAAGGGCTATCTGCACAAGCCATCCTTAATTTTGATGTGATAGACTAGAGGGAAGGCAGTTAGTCAACACCACCCACCACCAACTGTTGGGCTTCTCTTTGACCAATGGAAAGCAGGATTGTCCATTGCATTATAACACCTCCACAGCTTAAAGGGTGGACATGTTCAATGATAGAATTAAAACTCATTACCCACAGATTACAAGTCCAGCACCCTACCTAACCACCAGGCCTCCGTAAAGTAATAGAAAACACTGCAGTATTGACTTGAAGCAATATGCCAGTTAAAAAGGTTAGTAGGGTTGTACAAACAAATAACACACTTTGCACTTATATTTCAAACAGAATAAACAGACAACATTTTTTTAAAGTTTATTTCCTTACCTAAAAATGTGTTTCAAATAGATACATGTCTCTCCACAAAACTGATAGCCAGAATTTTGCATTGATAAGAAGGTAAAGTGACCTATGTAGGTAAAGAAAATTTAAAAGATGAGCATCAAAAAGGGAAAACTCATGGAGCATGGGTGGAGACCGCATCCCTCATCTCATGCAGGGAATAATCCATAGCCAGTAGAAATGGTAGAGCAAAATGTATTGTTAAAGACCCTCCCTCATGATGCTTAAATCTCACATATGTGGGCAGAATGTAAAAACTGCCCAATCAGCCTGTATATCTCAAGCATGTGGCTAGGGCAATATATCAAGCTGTACAGTATTCAAGAAATACTTAGAAGAATACAAAGGTGTAGGGGGAAATCATCCCAGACCTGCATCCCAAGGAAAATGTAAGACCTATCAGGAATAGTCTGGTTCTTAGTGTAGGGCGGATTGTACTATATTTCCAGGTAAACACTCCACTCTACCTCAGACTGATGGGTGCATCCATTCTGTCTCATATCAGTGAGATTACAATGAACTAAAGGGGTACTCTTTATATCAACCTCATCAGCAGCTTGGGACTGGGGAAGCAAAATTCTCCCTTTACTCTGCTAGAAGAAAATATGAGGATAGTATTTGACCAAACATGAATCATCACAACTGCTCAAGGTCCCTCAATGATAGACTTTGCAATAGATAACCAAAAACAGGGACAGCAGATAATAGCCAGGTATGAAAGCAGGATCATATTCGGTGCTGTTGTTGTTTTTCTCTGAAGTACAGTCTGGAATATAAAATATATATACTGCTGAAGCAGTCTTGTGGGACCTATCTCAAAAGTGGGTATGAAGCACATGGACTTAACACTGTCTACTATATCATACTCAACGTGAATTTTGGGAGAGAAAAGTATATTCTCTGTGAGGCAACACCAGCCATGTGGTGAGTTCCATCAGATATACAGAAAAATAAGGAGATTGTGGGAGCTGCAAAAAAATAGAATAATCATAAAACCTCCTTACAGCTTCTGTGACAATTGGAAAATGGCAACTGGAGGAAGATGAAAACCAGAGACAGATGAAACTACAATACAGTGTTAAAAATGGACACAATGGTGTTGTGAGTTGTCCACATCCCTGCCAGCAAGAACACATCCAGGGGACATCAACAGCAAGGAGCAAAAGAAGCTGTGAGATGAACTTGATAGGAGGTGACATGAAAAAAAAGAAAGAAGAAAAAAATAGCATGATGAGTTGCTGAACACAACCAGTCATAGTGGAAGAAGATATGACATGAGAGAAAGAGGAATCCCACAGCAAGAAAAGATGATGTCAACTGCCATTAAAAGATACGGATAAAGTGGAGTCAGAGTCTGTAGACTATATTTAAAGTTTTATTGAACTACTATTTTAGGAATGTATGTCAATAAATTTGGCATCAAGTTGAAATTTATAATTCAAATTTTATTATTATTATATATTTCTTAATTTAAAAGAATTGCTAAATATTGATTTTTGTGTGTCACGTGATTTGTTGTCTTCTGCTTTGGTTCAAATTACATTTTATAATGTCCACAATACAACATCTATAGTTTCTTATGAATTATAAACTCAAATGATTGCCCCTGAAGAAGAAAGGTCCACCTTTCAAAGCGCTCGGGTTATAGGGATTTTATTCATTTAAACTCAAATTACTGATATTGACAAGCTAGTATAGAGAATAAGAACCTCCTACCTTTTCTATTTGCTGAGATATCATTATATGTAATGAATTCACTACAGTGGCTCTGACCACTACTTCGATTTTTGGAAATAATTGTTTACGTATATCCACTTCGCTCAATTACAGGTTTATAACCAATCGAAAGTACTCATTCTGATCTGTGTAATTCTCTCAGCCTTTATAGTGTTTAGGTGGAAAACAAGCCATCTTTTCAGTTGCAATTTCAAAGAGTAGAGGTAGGATGAAATGGTGATCCAAAATTAGATTTTTTTTCACCCAAATACAGCTTATTTGGAATCCTGATAAATTACAGTGGAATTTTGTGGTATCAGTATAGTTATTTATATTTTTTTTATTTCAAAACACATATATAAAATCAACAAAAATTATTATTTTCTTCATCCTCCACATGCAAGATTCAATGAGGCTTAGCAAGTTATGACAGACGAGCACAAAGAAACTTCGTAATATTGTAAGTAGTAGAGATCGCTATTTTCTATATTTTTTTATTTACTGTTCCATGTTTTAAGAAAAAGAATTGAAATTTAAGAATTTATTTGTAAATAGTAATATGTATACATATTTAATGTACAATAGCATAATCAAAATGTGATTGTGTTTTACAAAATACTGGTGTGCTATACAAAAAAAAAGACATTCGCATTTTGTAAAGGCCAGTTATATGCTCTTTGATACAGTAATGTGAGCCACACACGTACCTCCTGATTTATAACTCGTATGGCACAACTGTTAGTCAGACACGGTTCAAAGGTCAATAAAACAAAAATATAAATAAAAAAGCATAATTTAGATTATTTCCTTTTTTTTTAAGATAGAGAACATAACAGATAAAATATTAAATGTTTCTAAAAAAATGTTTGATAGTTATTTAGAGGTTATAGAGAATTTGCAAATGAAATTTGACAATTGTCAGATGAAGAAAATTGTTTTTAGTCTTAAAATCAAAATTACTTTCTATGTGGGATAGTCAACATTCCAAAAGAAAAAATTCACAGTCAAATCTTTAATTATAAAATCTGATATTATGTTTACAAAAGCCTTGTAATATTTACTGATAATCCACGAAATTTCATGAAGATACACGTACATTATCAAAAGTTATAGCATGACTGCTTGCATTGTAACTTTGGTGAATATGGGCTGAATCACAGAGATAGCACAAGAAAGAAAATTAATATAAGAAAAGATAAAAATTCAAATCAGAAGTTACAATAGAAATGTTTTAAAATTTGCATCTTTCTTTTTCAAAATCAAGAAGGTGAGAAAGACAACATTTCATACGAGAACTAAAAGTTTAAGATAATAAGTGCAAAAATTCCATAACTTGTAATGAGAAAAATATGCCTGAAATCAAGCAGTATCGAGGAAAGAATAAGCCTCAGTACATGTTAATAGATAGGGTGTCTATGGGGCCTACTACTTATAGAGGATGTGTCGTCTTCCTATTGGTGGAGGACTATAATCTATTGTTGGTTGCATCACAGACTAGTACATTAATATGTATAAAGGTGGGAGCTTCATTCTGAATTTGGTGCATGCACAAAACTATTCTCAGAAATGGCACAAGGTAATAGTTATCAGTTCTGTGGAGAAGTGAGTAGCATTTCCAAATATGTAGTTGCTATATTTTGATATCAAAACTAATTCATAACATAAATAAATATTTTTTTTTTATAAATATTACGAAGTTTTCTAGATTAGGAACACACAAAACACACAGCAAAATAATAAGCTAATACAATTTCTGCTTTCCTGAAACCAAAAAAAAAAAATTGTTACATTATTAGAAAATAACATCAGTACTTTAATTATAACAATGAATACTAAAGAATCAGTTACCTGCATGGCTCCTTCTTATCCTCCTAAAACAAAATACAAAACTTTGTTCAAATTTTATCATCACAATAGATGATAAGAAAAAATATATCCTTAACAATAAAGCTGTATAAAGGTAGGTGTAATAATTAACAAAACAGAAACTCTGTATTATCCACTTTCAATTTATGTTTTTGAATGTGTATGGGTGTGTGTATACCCACACACACACATATATATATATATATATATATATACCTACTATATTTACACACAAAGCATTTTATTATTAAGTAATGTAATTGTATACCACAAGAATAGCCAAGGGTAAGGTGATTGAAATATATAATTGTTGCTACAGGTCATGAACAACCTTTTGTAGATATTCCAGTTATCCCACCTTAATGAAAAGTACAGTTTACAAAATCTGAAAGCATTCAAGCTTTTGTGCTTTCATGTACATTAAGTGTATGAATACCTGCAGTATTTATTTTCATTTTATTTGTATAATGGTCTTTGTATTTACAGGCTAAACTAACTAGCCTTCTTGTTACATTTCTTTGCTTCAAGTGCAGACATCTTAAAGGTGCAAATAACCTAGAAAATGGCACCTTTTGGAAAGGTTATATTATAGGAATTTTCTATGCTGATTTCCACTATCCAACAATTATAAAAACATGCAATACACAAATGTTAGCACTTTCACACAAAAAAAAGAAAAAAGTAGAAGAGGTGTCTATAGCATGAATTATATAGCAGTAGAAAAGATGATTCCAACATGGAACAAAAAATGTTCTATGACTGACTACCTGAACAATAGAGGTAGTGAAAGAAATTTAACAAGTTGTCACCAGAAGTACCCAAAAATCTTGTTCCATAACAGTTAGAAAAACACATTAGTCCTAATGTAGGGGGACCTCAAATATAAGGCAGTTCCTTAAATTGCAATAGTAATGAAAAATAAGAGAAAGTAAAATTTTTTGTATTTCTGATTATATCTCCAAACACTAAAAAATAAACTTTTATGTTTATTTTATGCAACACAACAGTCATGTACTGTTTTCATAGATTTTCTTTAAATGGTTTGTTTGTAATTACACCTAATACTTTCAAATGCAGTCATTCCTCTAAGGATTATCACCAAGTCAAATGTTCGTGTAAGCGAGTTGTTTCTTATCATTAGCTATCAAAAGACCATGAAAACCATGTAACACAAACATCCCCTCTTTATAGCTCCTCCTATTTGTTCCTTTATTTTGTCCTTCACTTTTCCACATGATCACCACTTCCTCCAGGATTATCCATTTTAACCAACACATCCTTAAAAACATAAAAACAGTAAATGAACTAAGTTATCACGTTTCTTTGCAACTGAAAGCAACATCAACAGTCTCAAGTCAGAAACGAGATGAATGGACTTCACAATAGCCAACTTCTCACATGTTCAGTAAGCTGTGAACATAAGCCAAAGTGGATTTTCCCAATATTTGTTTCCAAAAAAGCATCACCTTATAATTGGCCTAATACAGTACTAACTTGGAACTATAAACAAGATAATTCACATGAACTTAGGTCTACAAAACAACCATGTTCACAAGCTTATCTTTCAAAGCACAAAGGCAGATGGAAGACAAATTGTTTATTGCTTTACAAGCTGTATCTAGCATGTAATAACTGGAAGTATGTCATCACACTGGAATAAACATATGTCTACCTAACTTTTTTAATGTCTGCAAAAGTCCAGGAAACTTATTATCATTCTGCCATTATACAACCTTTCAAAAATGCTACCAAGTATGTTTCAAAAATTTCTCCAGTGGACTTGTGTGATTGCAGCTTACAACTATAATGGTAACTTAAACATTCAGATAGTTATGAAAAATGCTCTGTATACTACCAGACTACTGTGCACAAATCATTACTGTACACTTTAAGAAAGTGTCATATTTATAAAGACCAGATACCAATGAGATATATGAAGTTAGCATAGCAGGTGTTTTACAAGATTCAAGTACAAATGGAAATATATGCTATACTATTCTCAAATATGTCCCATGATCTTCTGTGCCTTTGAGTTAATCCAACTGACCAGATTTCAAATGTCATCATCTGCACAATATTGATGAGCTTTAGAAAGTATGCAAAGGAGATAGGTGAAATAATGACCACTGTGTAATGTAACATAACACAAAATTAGACTAACAAATGACAATTTGACCCATCAATGGTAGCCTGACACATCCACTCTCAAGTGAAAATTTAAATGTTCAACTTTATTTTTCAGGAAATCATCAGTTCCCATCTTAAATTCCTGTAAAGTGTATGCCTCTATAAGTGCCAATGGGAACTCATTCCATAGGTCATTCACACTGTTAAAAAATTCAACCATTATAACTGAAATCTAGTCTGTCTTAAACTTGTGTCCTCTAGAATTATTATCTTCATAACATAGCACAAAGAAATCAGAGACTGTTATCCTATAGATTCCTCAGATAATCTTGTGAACATCAATTAGACCTCTTCTTACCTTATTTTCAGAATATAAGAATAAAGTCTCAAATTGAGACAAATCCTAGCATGCAAACAGATATCAGACCAGCAGAAATTTCTTCAGAATTAGAGCCAGCTGAAAAATTCTGCTCTTGAAATAATGAAGATGCATAAGCCTAAGCAAAATAACTTATAATCTTTATGAGAAAAAAATGGCAGATGTTCTACCAATGAGCATCCACATAAATGTAAGATCCATCAGTGAAACCAGCAGGCAAAATGGAATTATTGGTTTAATTATGTTGATCAATAAGAGCAGACAAGACAGACACAGGTTCTCCTTTCGTGCTAGAGGCAGACTCCACTGGCAAAGCCTCCAAAGATGTAGTAAATTTTCTGATATTCATAGAAACATTTGAAGCAGTAGGTAATGATTGCTTCATAATTACTAAGGAGCAAAGGTAATAGTATTACAGTCAACAAAAAAATCTGAATTATGGCAGAAAATCAGAGCTTTATGTAATTTCTCTGGAGAATCCTGGATAAACTGATACATGCTCTGTATTGTATTTAATGCATTTAGAACTTTGTGCCATGTGATTGTTGACAGAATAGAGCAACACAACAAGAAAAGGCTATCAGTATGTCACAGGTAAGTCAATCTGATTTAAATCATGTTTTTATAGCCCTATAGCAATCAGTGTTTAAAATAAAATTTACAGAATGGGTTGCCCCATGGACAACCTTCAGGCCAATTATGGTTGTTTACTCCTGAATGACTAATACAAATTACCAACTTGGTGTTAAATTTTCCTAAATCAAACATCACACTAGAAAGGCTTATTAGTTGATAGAAAATTGTGATTTTATTAATGAACTCCATGAGCAGAATATGACCCTTTTCTCTTTGTCACACTTCAGCCACTTAGCCAGAAACTTTGGAATGTTCTTTTGCATTTGTTTTGATCATATTTGCAATTGGAATTCTCTTTTCAAAGACTTTTTGCCTACTTTTGTTTTGATCGCTTGTCTTTAATACAAAGTTAAAGTGAAAAAGTGGAGTATGTTTAGCCATTCCAGATCAACAGCTTATTACCTCACAAACATACAAAATGTAAATGTCGGAAAGAAAGTGTGATTATCAAAATCTTGAGTGGCAATCCATTATTGGTCATAAATTGTGAAAAGTTTAAGATGTTATAACAATCACTCTTATTGGTAAACAGTGTGTGTAGTTTTAATTATTATTTCCCATGCAGAAATCATAATATAATGTGCACAGACATACTACTTGAATTTATATAGTACTCTGAATGCACCAACATGGACTACACACCTAGACTGCCATGAGATTGGGCCATGTTGTGCTTGTCCTGGGCAACTGGAAATCACTTATATTTTATAGTTATAAAATGTCAAAATTATAAGAAGCCATATTTTAGTCAAGAATACCTCTATACTAATGAAATACTATTATTTTTCAATCAAAGAACTGAGTGAGTTTACATTCTAATTATGTCATAATTAAAATAATTTACTGATAATAATTCCTTTATATACCCAAAATGATTAAGTGTGAACTCAAAAGTTTGTAAACACTGCAATACACAAAGACATATCTAGTTTAGGAACAAGTGATAAAAGCCCAATTATCTTGAAAATCTAACTCATCAATAAACCAACATCAAGGATTAAAAAAAATCTTTCCACTGACAAGGATTCAAGCTAGAAGCATACATCCAGGAAAGTGAAGGCTCAAAAGCAACTGGTGAAAGACCCAAAACATCAGACACTCAGTGGAGCAGCTGAAGAAAAGGAGGCTAATGCAGCTGATCCCAAAAGGGCTCCTGAGAAACCAACAGAATAAAGGAAGGTGCAGGAAAAAGCAAATCTAAATTCTCTCCAAAATCGACCTCAAATGCAGCCTCAGATCCCCCTGGAGGCATACCACCAAATATATGTCTCAATCTCACTACGAATAAGGTCACCGACAGTCTCAACTGAGAGTGACTTCCCCCTCCGAATTATTTAGAGATGCTAGATATCAGAAGTGGGATAAGAGAGACCTGATCTGCATCCATACCAGAAATAATAATCTGGGAATTCATGCCATATATCAGCTTCCCAAACAATATTTTTTTTTATGAAATCAATTAGGTAACACAAATAAAGCTCAAAGTATCTCAAATAGTTGTAATACAGAGAAACCCATTAGTGAATGCTTTGTCAAGAAAAAGTGATAATATTATCTGAACGAGGTGCTTATATGCAGTACCAGGATAGAGGGTGCATTGACGTAGGTGGAGAGTGTCACATGACAGATATCACCAAGGACAATTAAGTGGGGAATAAATTACTGGATCAAGCAAGAAAGATTTAGAATAATGCTTAGATTGGCAAAGGAAGAAAACCATAGCAGTCGAGTAATAACTATAGTGTTAAAGGAGGTAAGTATGTTTTGGAATTTAGAATTATATTGTATAGTCAACATGGTTTCACTAAGTAAAAACCTTGCCTTACAAATATTTTGACATTCTTTGAGAAGGTTACTGTTTATGTAGATGAGAGTAGGGTGTAGATTTGGTGTATCAGGATTTTCAGAAAGAATTTGATAATGTGCTACATAAAAGACTTGTAAAAAAATTTACCTCTATAGGTGTGGGGGGATAAGTTAGCAAATTGGGTAGAAGAGTGGCTGGATGGAAGAAAACAGAGGGTTGTTATAAATGAATTTCAGTCAAACTAGATTAATGTTACAAGTGGGATAACTCAGGGCTCAATCTTAGGACCTTTGCTCTTTTTGATTTACATCATTGACATAGATGAAGGAAAAGTCAATAAGTTACTTAAATTTGCAGATGATATTAAGGTCTTGGGTGTTGCTAGCTGTGAAGAGGATGCTGCTGATTTACAAAGGATTTAGATAATTTAGTGAGTTGGACAAATAAATGTCAAATGGGCATTAATTATAATGAATGCAAGATAATGCATGTTGGTTATCATAATTTGAATTGTAAGTATAATTTGGATGGGAATAACCTTAACAGTGTTATGAAAGAAAGGGACCTTGGTGTAATGGTTGATTAGTCACTTAAGCCATTCAAGCAGTGTGCTGTTACTAGTGGTAGGGCAAATAGGATTTTAGGTTGTATCTACAAAAATATTGAATACAAGTCTAGTAAGGTCATAATTACATTGTATAGGTCACTGGTTAGGCCACATTTGAATATTGTGTTTGTTCTTGGGCTCTTTACCTTAAGAAGGACGTAAACTTTTTGGAAAGGGTTCAGATGAGAATTACTAGAATGGTGCCTAGAATGGAGAGGTTGGCATATGAGGACAGGATGAGATCTCTCAAATTGTTTTCATCTCTTGAAAAAAAAGAATAGTTAAGGGGGGGGGGGGTTGATACAGATGTTTAAGACTGTAAAGGGAATCGATAGTGTTGATGCATTATCTTTTTTCATACTTAACAGTGAGAATAGTAGGACTAGGGGACAAGGAGACACAAATATAAATTTTGGCAGGGTAGGAGTCACCTTTAGCTAAAGCAGTTTTATTTTTCTAACAAGGTCATTGGCCTTTGGATGTTGTGGAGGCAGTAAATTTAAATGAGTTTAAGAGAAAGCTTGATAATTATATGAATGATAAGGACTGGCTTTAAGATTTTTTTAATTTACATATTCATTAATTTTAGTTTAGTTTAGAGGATGGGACAGCCACAATAGACCAACAGGTCCCTTGTTGTCCCAAAACATTATGTTACGTTCAAATTATACATTAATGTATGAATGTCAGTAACACCGAAAGTTCTTATAATTCAATGTATGTCAGTTAATACTATACTTCTGTATATAACTATCATTAATATATCATAATTCTAGGAAATTGTACCAATAATACTTGTCAGTAACATTTCATCTTCTAATTCAGAAGAAATTCAACTTACCTCAGGAATTAGATTTTCAAACTAAAATAGAAAAAAAAAAGCTTGTTAATAATAAATAAGCAAATTTCCAATTTACTATAAGATATATAAAATAGTCATATGTTCTATTTTTGAAGAGCTCCTATAATGAGAATAGTTGATAACAATATTTGTTGTGAAAAATTACTCCTTAAAAATTAATAGTGTTAATGTGCAAGTATAATTTTACCACAAAACTGAAACTCTATTACTGCACTTTGAGGTACAATAGTAAACTTTACAAAGAAAATCTCTAAGAAAAATAGAAAAAAACATGCAGCTATGTTAAACATTTTCTTTCAGTTTATGTACTAAATAGCAGATACTAAAAAATGAATAGCATTAATGTTACTTATTCTAACATTACTTGCAGTAAAGGTCAATTCGGACACCATAAACATTCACTACAACTACAAGAGGCCCTTGTCTAGTTCTTTAGTCTGTCTTTGTACAGAATTACTGGTGCCAGGTCAAATTCCTCAAAATGGATCTAATTTAGTGAAATTTGGCAAATCACCAAAAAAATTAGCCTCTTGATTCCTTTTTTTTTTCTTAAATTACAATTGAGGTAATGAGAAAAAAAGTGTACATACACTTAATAGAACTGAAGACAAGTAACAGTTGAAGATTTGTGAATCTTGCAACTCCTATTCAAAAGCCAATTATCAATCAACAAAAACAAGTTTTTCTCCTTCTCATATTCTAGGCTGATTTCTTTTCTCAATACAATTCACTTATAAAAGTATCAGACATTTCTAAGTTACTTAGAAAGTTCAATGTAGAAATCACCTAACAACAACATGATTCTAAATTAGTTACATACTTGTTATTTTAAAATTACATTCAGAAGATATGTTTTTCTTACAACATAACTGACTACTAACCTCTAGCATACTTCCTGATCCAAAGTATTTAGTCCTTGTATAACACCTACAAAAATAATGTTTCGTACCTTTAGTTTCATTACATTACATACATGTAAGCTACTTCTGTATATTGTTCTTCAAGTTTGCATGGAAGAAAATGTAAAAAGAAGGTACAAAAGCATCAAATAGTGTTACCATGTGTTCAAATTATTGTGAATATATGACAACCTTGATAAATAATTTTCATCATTTCCAAACTAAATAATTTGCAACTTTAATACGAATTAAAATTCATTTACTTGCTATACCAGGGGTTATAATAATAACACTGTTTTATATTATCAGTATCAGTCAACAATATCAAACAATGTATTTGAGACATGCTTAATTAGTACTATTACTAGCCTTGGTCTTACTATATTTATGTTTTAAAATTAGTTTGTTTTATTAAAATCTGATGAATCTAATCTGAAAAAGAAATTTGAAGTTCGAAAAAATTAACGAACCTGTTTTTTTTTTCAACTGGGCAACATCTACTAAAACAATCACCCATTCTGTTGGCACGTCATCAACTTAATCAAGTGTTACAAACATGAATAAAAGCAGTCTTAAAAACTCAGTTATTCGAGGTTTTATTTGGTATAACTATAAGTACTCTAGTTTTCACCTAGACGTATGATTTAAGTGATGTCCTATTCCGATAGTACTTCTTTATTACTGTTAGTGTTACAGTGTTAGTACTACGTTATCTCAGTCTCCAAATTACTAGTAGTTGTACTGGTAGTAGTGGTACTCTGCAAGACTAATAGTAATATTAACAAAGTCTCTGAGCCTAACATTATTATTACACATTATTCTATTACATATAAAATAACTTTTCGGTTTACTTGAAAGGAAAAAAATAAATCATCGAATATAACCATAATATGTAATATACAACAAATCTTGAAACGATAAAAAAATTAATGTAATAAACTTAGAATTTCAGTGTTAACACACGGTATAGGTCAAACAAACAGGAAGTTGTTTTAATGTCATTTCCGCTGAAAGTGTGATTTCTTTAAAATAAATATGTATTAAATTAATTCTCACAAAAATAACCAAATATTTACTTTAGGTTAAATTTACCATAGCTTATTCTAAAACAATATTTAGAAAATTATCAACATCTTGATACTTTACGTCTGTTCTCAACAATTCTGTTTGACTTTTTAACAATCCAGCTGAACTCCAAGTTAATTAAACTTCGTAAACATTCATAAGAACTTTCTTTATACCTTTCGTTATAAAAATAATTACCAATAGAAATAAGCAACATGTCATTTCTTTACAAAAATAATTATGTTTATAAAATGTCATGATCAGTGAAAGATTAACTCTTTCCCTGTCATTGACATATTTTTACTACAGGTGCTTTTCTTTTGCGTCTTGAGATTAGTTATTGCTATAATGTTTCATAGCCTAAGTTTAAGAAAATTACTTAATACTTGTTAAAAGTTATTATACTATGGAATATAAATATATCGGGAATTTCTATCTTATTGTAATATTATAGTGTTTATCCTAAATTTCTCATTCATTGTACACATATGTGCAGGATTCACATAATACGTGATCGAGAAAGCCGTTAAACTGATTTCCTTCCAGTTGCCTTTGTTCATTTGTCATAGTTTAGTTTAGATATTAGATGATGTGACAACCGAGATGGACCAATAGGTCCCTTGTTGTTCCTAATCATTATGTTATGTTATTCACAAATAAATTATACATGTTCTGCTCGTTGAGAACGTTGCTAAAATACTGCAAACTGTATAAAGATGTCGACAGTAGTGTGTTTTGATGGTAGTTCGAGTGATCACTCAAGGTTACAGCCTTACCTATGTTTGAATGAGAATGACAAGTCACATACTTAGTGTTAATCGTTCTAAGTAAATGCGATGCAACTTTTCTTGTGAAGTAAGCATGGTATATGAATTCAATCTGAATAGTTGAATATTGAAGATCATGTAGAGATGGTTGTCCCGTGCCAAAAGCAAGTGCGTACACTGTGATTTAACTCTTATAAGGATTTTCATTTCGTGTTTTACTCTGTGTCCACTCTCTTTATTTCATCCATTCTCACGGCTCAGTTATTACGAGATTTAGCACTACTTCGTAATTGGTATTTCGATTGCATCTCCTGTTAGTGAGTGGACCTATCTCGTTGTTATAAAGTTAATTCAGTTTTACCTTTGATATACCACAAAAAACTAGGCTTTCCATTTGACATTCTTCTTATAATATCGAGCAAATACTTTAAAAAAGTTGTATGGATTAATTATTGAAAAATAATATTCGATCTACTTTTTGCTGATGTACATAACACTTGTTACAAGGCATAGACGACAAGTGAGTCATCTGATTGGGTTCAACAATTGGGGAGAATCAGTGTGTGCCCCTAAATGAATAAACTTTCAAAAGTGATTCACATATACTCTTTTTTAATCTCCCTGTCTCTCTCTCTTCACATATATTGCATAATATTTTTGAATTGGTGAGAAAAATGCCCGGTGATGGACGGTTTATTTGGGGACGCTAAGCCTCCTCAAACCTCTTATACGCACCGCCCCTGTAGCAAGATAACTTAAAAGTGGTAAAAGTGCTTATAGACTTCAATGTTGCTACATAGGAATGGCAGGAACTTACGTGCAAAAAAATATCATAACATGAGAGAATGAAACTGCTTTATTCTTTCTGTAGTTTGTGTCACTAAAAATAATTGTATTGTTATATTTGAGCCTATGATTGGATTAAAATAAGTAAATGGCGAAAAGCACTCAATTCCTGTTTTACGTTATGGTGATGTGAATGTCTCAAATATTGAGTGATCTGGACATGCATGTTCAAATTTGACTAATCACATGAAACCAAGAGCCAGAAGGAAATGGCGAAGATTGGTGTGGCTGTCATATGTTATGTGTATGATAAGCTGTAAACCTTTAATATTTTGTTTGAAGACCATTATGGCATGCACACAGCCGATTTGGTAGATATTTACACTCATTTGTTTGTTTTATTTATGCTAAAGCTACTAAGACTATCTTTCATATTTTAACCTTCCCTAATTTTGAATTGCTGACTATAGGGAAGGGAAACCCACTGTCGACTCTTGAGCTACTCGTTACCAACAAATAGAAAGATTGACCGTGATATTATAACACCATCGCAACTGAAATGGTGAGCATATTTAGCACCTGCTTTCTATCCCGTAACCTGCACATGGAGAGTAAAACACCCTAACCACCAGGACATGTCAAGCCTTATTTGTGCTCATGTTCCCAATGCTCCCACGTGAAAATATATTCATAGCTACGATCCTATTGAATGGATGAACATACAGATTTACACATCTGATTTTTGAGTAAAAATGCTAATAATATATGAAAATAAGCATGGTTACCCAAAGGGAGCTATGATTGGTAGGAAAAGGTTAATTAATAACTATAGCCAGATGTGCATTGTTGTTTCCTTACTTCACATATAATAATTGCTGTCTTTAGTCAGTTGGAGTAAGGTAGTTACTTTTAATAAAAAAATAATGAAGGTTACTATAACTGGAGCACTAGTAAATAATAAGGTTAAGAACAACAAGCAGTCACTATAGATTTAAAGGAGAGAGAAAGAGTGACAACAGATTTTTTTATCTTTTACATAAAAGACAGCAAAACAAAACTAAAATGAGAGAAGGGTAAAACGTATAACTTCCAGAGAGAGATGTATCTGAAGAAATAGGCCCCACATAGAGAAAGTAATACAATATCTATGAGATTTAACTTCTATTCACAGTTACTATGTGTGAAAAACAAACACACATTATGAGTAGATATGCATGCCCAAGCACATCAGGTCTCAATAGTGAATGGTTGTTCTAGAAGTGGGGCGCTGTGGGTTTGGAAACCCATAGTTGGTCTTTATTTTGTCTATTCTTCTATTTTTATTATTACTGTAAATTAAAAAAATATGTAATTAAAATCAATTTTAGAACAGTTATCCATCTAGCTTGTTTTCTAAATAAATCAACTTTCATTTGGATAAAGTTAAACAAAATTTAAGAAAGATTAGTTTAAAGAATTGTTTAAACATTTTATGAATTAAAGACAAAATTAAACAACTTCAAGGAAAATTTGATATGACAGTGGTGGATAAGTCGGAATAGATTTTTTCTTATTTGTAAACAAATATAAATGGCCAAACGGCGCTTAACAAGTTGAATTCTCCTAACACTTCAGACTTGAAATAAATTAGCTGAAAAGTTTTAACTAGTAATACTAAAGTTTTAGAAATATTCATTTCTAAACATGTTACATTTTCAAAATTACCATATTTATATGCAATTCCGAAACTACATAAAAATCCAATGAATTTCAGGATTATTACTAGTTCAGTAAAAAAACTCACATGAAAAGCTACTCTACTAGATAAGCAAAATGTTTACGTTTTTAATAAATAAAATTAGAAGTGTCGATTGTAATATCAATAACTTCTGAATTTTCAAGTAATAATAAAGAGTTTTACATGATCTAGAAACCTTAAATGGAGCATAAAGATGCTGATTTAAAACATACATTTGATTTTAAAGCTGCACAGAGGATTCACTATGTTATATTAAAACGACTTTCAAGCTTCATCACATTGTTATAGTCCATGCTGCCACGGCTGGTAATGTTAAATTTCATGAATATGTATCCCGACAATAGCTCTACAGAATAGTTTTCATTGCAAAAACCTCCGTCGTAAGGCTGTACCAAAGCTTGATGACTTTATATAATCCATCTAGTGTATGAGGAAGAAAGTTTCACAATGTCTGCTTCTGCACTGCAATCACACAGAACACCATAGGGATGACTTGATGGTTGTCTTCGTATGGAATTAAGAGCTTAAAAATGTAAACCACAATATATCTGTCATATCCAGTGCTGACGATGTATTTTGACCAATACCAGGAATCAACAGACCAGTTGTGATATGACAGACAGAAAAATGGTCTAGGCACTATTCATTTTATCAAATGCATAAACAACAGCTGTTAGATTAAGTAAGTGAAGTGTAATTATTATCAATTTTATTTAACTCGTTTACAAAACAGAATTATGGTAAGGATTAATAATTGATATTATTTCTTTATTTCTAACATCATTTATTTATTATTGTTTTAATTTTAATTAACTTTACTATCATTCAAAAGAACTGGCAAGCAGCAAGCTAGTGTTCTTGTTCCCATATGGATATCAGTTTTACTTGACGTACGTAATGATTCAACTGGGAGTATTACTGGAAGCCTTGTCTTGTTGAACACATACCCCATTGGCTTAGTTTCAAAATGGAGATATTTCTCGATTATGTCGGGTACTGTTGCCTGGGGAACGTGGACAGCTTTTGCCACTGACCTTTGTGTTTGTGGATTCTTATATGTTACTAGATATTACATTTTGATCACTACAGCTGGCGTACGCCTTGTTGCATACCTCTTTCTAGATGGTCCTGGTGCTCCAAGTTGATTCATATTCCTTTATTTATCAATGTCATTAAGTAAAAGAGATATACACATCTTGTAAATTCTAAGTCTCTGATCTTAATACATCTTTATGATCTGAGTACATGAATATTTTGCGTCAGAAATAGCTGCTACATACCCTTTTTAAAAGCAATCAGTTTCAGTAATATCACACAACCGACAAAATGCAAGTAATATTAAATTGCAATTCTGATTCATTCCATCATGACTTTATATTGGCTGTGGTTGTTACATGACTTGCTGACTTGCATGTTCAAAATTTCTTTCAATATAGCATACACAACTCTCTGTATAAAACTTTCATTTGTACAACCTGATAAGAGTTTTAAATCTAATGGTCCTTTTATTTATCAATTTGCTAATCAAATTAATCAATTTTAAAACTTTTACAAAATAGAAATCATTCTATTAGTTTCTGTATTTATAACAACCTTATTGCTTTTAAGCATGCT